TATATATATATATATATATATATATATATATATATATGATGTATGTATGTATGTATGTACAGTGTATGTATGTACAGTGTATGTATGTATATGTATGTATGTATGTATGTATGTATGTATGTATGTATGTATGTATGTATATGTATGTATATGCAGGTCTTGGCGTATTCCATGAAAGATTGAGAGTATCTTGGTGACGTTTAGACTTTCAAGCACGAAGCCAAAAACACCAGCCTGAAGATGGCGAGTGTTACTCATTGAAATGTCGCCAAGATACTCTCAATCTTACACGGGAAAAGACCCGAATATGCCAAGACCTGCATACCTGTACCCGTGAAAATCTACGAAAACATGTATATATATGTATACATACACACACTTATACACCTACACATATATACACATACATATATACACACATACATACATACATACATACATATATGGAGGAGGGGGAGGCAGTAGCTTAATACTTTATAGCCTCCAGTGTATTTAAATCCAACTAGATGAAAATCCAAAATTGGGAATAGTTTGAATAGTTCTCATAACATTTAAAAAAAAATGAAATACCTTTATTGCTGGTATCAGACCATTCCATTCAATTGTCATTTTCAATGCTTTCTTCACTTTCCAAAGCTAAAGGACAAAATTTTATTTTAATATTTTAATGTACTGTGTTACAAATTTATTTGTCTCATTGTATAATCTGATTATGACCTTTAATTATAACTATTCCTGAATTCTTTGGCATTGGCATTTAATTCTAATATTTCTTAACTACCTTTTGTAAAGAGCATGAGTTGTTATGATTGTTTAACAATGACTGCATAACAGAGAAACAATATACTCAGCTGTTTCTATATACCGATATGTGGTTCTAAAATAAAATGGAATGTATGATGTTCAATCTTTAACAGGAGTACTACGGTATTGCTTAGGACTTCACTCACCCCAAAAGCAAAAACTTTACGTATCAATTCAATTATATTTAACTAACATATGCTGAAATAAATATTTTTGTATATGTGTGTGTGTGTACACATACACTATATATAGCTCTAAGGTTCATATAAATAGTCAAACCTCAAGAGAAGGGAAAACATATCAAATAAATGAATCGGTCTTTCAGATAACTAATACTAAAGACTCAGGGGGGAAAAATCTAGCACAGAATATGTCTCAATTGTACCTTTAATTTAAAAAAAAAGCTCTTAAGAAAGTGAAGATACTCCTAATTGTTTGTGAGTAATGGATGCTGGAAATCCCAATAGTGAAAAAATAGAATCTCTTTGCTCCTGCATTGCTCTTCCTATCTCTGAATAAGCAGGAAGACAGAATGCAGAAGAGCAGAAATGACAGCACATACTATATACCAAATAGGGATAAATATGCAAATCAAAGTCATGTACCCCATCAAACAAATCAAGTAACTGATCTCAGCCAATTTTTTTTTTCAAATCTCAGGATGGAATAATTGGCATATTGTTCAACTAATTTCCAATATCATTAGTTCAATTTACGAATCAATCTGGAATACAAATCACTTGCAGCTAAGCTGGTCCTGACCTATTAAAATAAATTCAATCGTGACAGTTTAAATCCTTGCATTCTTACTAAGCCGCTTTGGGAAGCCATCCGTCTGTGCTTATACTGTACGTATCACATGTAGAGATAAATAAATAACAGCTCACCTCAATCACTGCTCCAATACCAGCTGGAATCAGCACCAATAAGCTTGTTTGTTCATCCAACAGAAAAAGGAAGATGATCACCGTGCTGAAACATCGCCAAAGCACTGCATGAAAAGAATTCATTTTAAAAAAAAAAAACTACATTGCACAATTTGAAAAAAAAAAAATCTGGATACATTTGAGAAAAATATCTACTTATTTTGAAAAACAACTTACGATTGGAATCACAAATACAAATCGTTTTGTTAAACTATGGCTCTCTAAATAAAACAACCACATTGCACGATATACTAAAGCTAGTTTGCAAACAGTAAACAATACGCAAAACTAAAACTTATTTTGGCTGGCACAATCAAACCTAAAAGTTTGAATAATTATAGTTCTAGATATCCACACAGAAGCAACTAACAGTATTCAGTATATAGCATTCTTTAAAACTAGAGTAGTAATACGTACTGAACAGAATGTTAAAATTTGGACCACATCTTAAGACAAAAACTTGTAATCCAACTGCAATTTTTTTTTTTTGCCCATTGTATTTCTTGTTCTTGACATGTTGGTTAACCTGGACTTTAAAGGTGTATTCTTCTAGCAAGTTTTCCCTTTT